GATGGATTAATATTTGGTACTGCAGCACCGCGTTCTATTTTTAGACAATGGATATAAATGTGAATTTGGCCTAAAATTTGCCTCATTAGCGCTGATGGAAGGAGATGCTGGGCCTTGACTGTATGGAAAAAAATCAAATAGATTTAAACAACTGTATTACATATATTATATTATATTATATTATATATTATATATATATAAGTATTGAATAACTATATATTATTTATATATGGTATGAACAATTTATACATATATATTTACTTTTTTTAATTAAGTAATTTTTTCACACTTTTTGCTGTCGTGCCGAGAGGTACATGTACCTCATTTGAGAACTACTGTGCTACAGAGTACTGTAGTACTGCAGTACCTTTTTTTTTTGCTAACTGACTGCTAACTTATCTTACTTTTTTTGCCACCTACTAGTTACTTTTTAGCAATTTTTTAAGCAAACTTTAGCTACGTATTTCCACTTATAATATTGAATTATCTTTTTGCTAAGTTCTAGCTAACTAACTTTGACCAAGATTTACTTTATTACTTGCTAACCTTTACCGAAGGTTAAAGACAACTTTGGACTTTTTTTGACAAGTCAAGGTTTAGAAATCCACACTTTATTTCTTGCTTTTTGTTTTAGTATAGTTCTCATTTCTCTATGACTGTATTCATTTAATGTATTTATTTATGTTTTGTTGATGGCGTCTCCTTTCTTTTAGCTCTGTTTCTGCTTTTTGTGTTTTATTTGCTTTGAATGTTCTTTGGAACACTGCAGTGATTGGGGTTTTATTGTTCGAAAGGACAAAAGAGAAGTTTTGCGATTTCTGTGTCGGTTTCTGGCGGCCAGCTGGTGGACCTGTGGAGTTAGGGATCGGAACATGAGGCACCGTTTCGTGGCTTTAGACAAAGCTTGACTCTGATGACACGACAAGACCCTAATCTGGGATTTTAAATGAGCCTCTGGTTTTAGTTTGCTGTTTAGGGAAGATTTAAAGGGTCTCAGTGGAGAACAGAAGCTGTGGGGTCTTTAGGGGTCAATTACAGCCATCTATAAACAGGAAGTGAAGATCCCTGCCATGTTTACAAAGTGCCCCTCAGATTTGACCCCAGTCCTGGCGGCTGTTATGACAACTGATAACTGTGGAGATGGTGTTTGTCTGCCACACCGCAGGGCCTCAGCTCTGTGACTTTTCAGAGTAAACTGGGGGGGAGGGGGGGGGGGGGGGCGGGGGGCAGACGGGCCGGGGCGTTTATTGTTGTTAGGACGGGAAGTAAATAATCAGGGCTCCTTCTATCTACAAATCATACTAGGCTTTTTACAAAAGAAAAATATTTAAAATGAAACTTTTTTTTAACTGAAATGTGATCATAACATTAACAATTCTTTTTAACATCGCTACTGTATGTGTGTATTTTGTAATAATTATTTTTATTATCTTCGAGAGCAATACAAACATTACCAGGGAAAAACTAAACATTTATCCTATATTTTACAACAATAACCAGAGGATTTCTGTCGTGTTTCCTGGGACAACAAGCAAAGTTTTGTTGAATAGATTTTTTTTAAAAAAGGGGGGGGGGGGGCCCCAAAAAACCAAGAACACCCACCAGATGCGGTCAATATACTGGGGTGCTAAGCTGGTTTCATACACACATGCATGTCTTCAGTACAGTCTCAGTCCCTGTGCCAGACATTCACAGAACAACATGCTGTAAAGTTGTAAGAGTTTTTTTTTCCACATATAAAAATTATTTATTACATTTATGACCAATCAGTGTTGGAAGGAACAGTGTTCCAGACTGAACGGGGGTCACATGACCACTACTGACCAATTAACGTCTTTGTTTTTCATCAACCTCATTAGGAAAGAGTTTCTTACTGAGGTCAAATCCATTTTTTTTTCAATTTTTTTACTGTTTGTTTTTCTTCTTAAGCTAGAAAATGCTTATTTTGTCATGAAAAATATTTATATACCGCAAAAATCCAGGATAGAGCGAAAACTTGAAAACTTGTCCATGTATTGTTAATATACTAATAAAGTGAGAATAACTTTGACTGTTTCCTCCATTCTTCCTCCTGTATGGGTTTTTCAGGAGGATATTTTAATTTCAATTCTAATTTTAAAAATTGTAAAGTCGACTGTGACAAATGTGTTTCGCAAAATTGCAAAAGAAATGATTTAATTGACTTAATTTCAGTCAAAACACATCCATAGAAGAGGATCAATTCACAGAGTTAGAGTTGATATTAGACACCACGGCTACGACATGGCTTCATCCAGAACTTTCAATACAAGCCAAGACTCACACACTCTCATACACACACACACACACACAAACACACACACACACTCATACACTACTCACCATGATTTCATCCTGGGAGAGTTAAAATTGCAGAAAAAGTTGAAAAAGGAGAGACAAACAAGAAACAAAACAAGAGAGAAATTACTCAGAAGACAAAGGAAACTACAAGATCCTAGGAAAATGACGAAAACAAATTAGGGCAAAGTGTAAACACAGATGAAATCATTTCAAATAAAAACCCACAGAAAAATCACTACAGAACACAGAGAAAACACTGGAGAACAAAAACGTTGTGTTATAACAATGCAGCACCTGGTTCTGTTACAAAATGTTTTTGTTTGTTTTTTAATACAAAAACATCACATACTGATGTGTGACTGTTAGCATTAGCTCTAACTCTATTCACATCTAGACGTTAACCATCAGGAAGTTGTCATTTCTCCGACCTCTGCTCTCTGCAGATGCACAGAAACGTTCTACTTCCTGTTGCTGCTAATATGATTATCGCCGCCGTCAGCGACACAACGACTTCTACGCACGAAACGCAGCACATCGGGCCTCGACGACTGTTGCCCATTAGTGCTGGCGCTGCATTGTGCGCACGCCATTAGATGTGCATTGTGTAGGATGGACGTGAACCCACGCCCGGGGTAACCAGATACCGTGTAGCTGCCCTACATTTAGCATGAGAGCGCTAAGTGCTACCAGAGCGAAGCCTCGGGGAAGGAGCTCAAAATTCATGTTTGGGCCCGAGAGATGAAACAGATGGACTCAGTGCAGCGTCACGTAGCTGCAGATTAAAGGAACCTCGAGGAGAAAGAGACGCAGCTCCGTACCAGCACGGTCTGCACTGCCTGGTTGTGATTAAAGTACCTGGTTGCCGGCTGCTTTTTTCTTGTTCATTTGGTTGATCCTCTGCTGAGCGCTGCACACACACACACACACACAGAGGGAAACATACATCAAATACATCAACTTCCATGGTCCGAGCGGCCACATGTACACAATCACGTTCTTCATCTGCCTGTGGTTAATACTCTCTGCACAAAGGGACGGGGCAATAACTCACTTGGCAAATCCAATGAAGTCCTCATGGTTGGTGTTCATGTAGGACAACTCGATGTCTATCATCAGCAGGACCTGAGCAGATATGTGTGAATATATGGTGTCAAACCTCACATGATGGATTAGGCCAATGGGGTTCGACCTTTTTTGGCTCGTCACATGATCATAGCTTTCAATCAGGAAGCACCGGCTCAGATATTTTTCTAGGCTGCAGGTTATTTGAAACAGTGTTTCCTTTTCTTTTCTGAGCCAGGGCACATATATATCATCAAAAATCTCACAAAAAGTATATGTAATTAAATATAATAATCTTCTGGTTTAAATGACCTCATCATTGACTAAAATCTCATCAGGAATTGAAGAAAGACATTCACTAAGATCTTCTTTAACAGCTCTGATTTTTTTTTTTTTTTTTTGTTTTCATAGCCATCTGCTGCCACCTAGCAGCAGCGTATTTAATTGTTCTTCCTTTCATGGTTTGACGAGCAATAATGAATGATCTCTCACGGCACAGTGGTTGGGAAGCAATAAAGAAATAATAGTTCTCCACAGCACACTGAATGATCTCTCACGGCACAATGGTTGGGAATCACAGATTTAAACCACTGTTTCCCAAAGACTGGTTCGCGACCCTCAGGTGGGGAATTTAAGCAATTCAGTTGTTTTGTTTTCATAATTTAAATTAGTTGATAATTAGTACTTTTTTTTTTTACTTTCAATTACTAGACCCTTTCAAGTGACCGTATTTCAATTCTGGGCGACACCACATGGGGTCACGACCTTAAGATTGAAAAACACTGGATTATGTTTAGTTTTTACATAACAAAAAGTGTGTTAATGGTTTAGAAATGATTAATTAACTAATGACTAAGAGTCAATCGTTCCGACCCAGTGGAAATAGCACTGGTAGAAAACCTGCGTGTCCTCGTCCTGTTGTTCAAATGTATTTCTTTCCAAATTAAGACGTATTAAATCGTGATTATTTTGACTAGTGTTTTTACACAGAACAATTTTAATCTGATGAGGAGTTAATTACATTTATGTGTGTCTTTGTAACCAGAGTTTATAGGAAAAAACAGACAGTGTGAAAACACCTACATTAAAGTCATTATGTATGATTCACACTTTCTCTCCCGGCAAACACTGACTTTTCCTACAGGCTGATAATCCATCTGCAAACGACGACGTAAAAACTCACGCTTTAATCTCCTGATTGCTTTATCCCTGGTTTTCCTCTAAATACGATGGAGTTTATAGGAAAAAAAGAATCATTTCGTTTGTGACAGTGTGAAAACGCCTACATTAAAGTCATTATCTATGATTCACACTTTCTCTCCCGACAAACACTGACTTTTCCTACAGGCTGATAATCCATCTGCAAACGACGACGTAAAAACTCACGCTTTAATCTCCTGATTGCTTTATCCCTGGTTTTCCTCTAAATACGATCACGCCCTTCAGAAGTGACAACAGGTGGCATTAAGCAGCTGTTACTGGAGAGTACAACCAAATACTCTCCAGAAAAATATTTACTGATTTTCCAAATACAGTCATTTGAATATTTAATAAGAACGGAAATAGTTCTGAGTCCTTGTGCGTCAGTGTTTGAGGCTTCAAACATTGCATTTTCTTCCATTTCTTTTTCTTTGTATGTGGTTGTTGCACATTTATGAATGGATGGATGGATGGGTGGATGGATGATGATGGATGGGTGGGTGGGTGGATGGATGATGATGGATGGATGGATGGATGATGATGGATGGGTGGGTGGATGGATGATGATGGGTGGATGGATGGATGGATGGATGATGATGGATGGGGGATGGTTGGATGGATAGATGGATGATGATGGATGGATGGTTGGATGACTAGATGGATGGATGACTAGATGGATGGATGGATGGATGGATGGACGGACGGATGGACAGACATATAGAGAGATAGAACTCTATTTCCCTTTGGGAAATGAAGGATAAATATATATGTGTGTGCGTGTGTTTATGTTTAAACACACACACATACAATATTATGACATATTTATGACCATAAACATACAATATTATGACATATTTATGACCATATATACATATATATACCACATATATGTCGTGAAATCAGACAGTACCTGGTTCTTACAGCGACTTTCTCTGTCCCTGATGTGGTGAGTTACAATTCTCTCCATCTCTTCCCTCAGCATTGGATACTGAGCCAGCTGTGATGACAGAGGTTAGTAGGTAGGAGGTAGAGAGAGAAACACACACACACACACACAAGCTAACAGAAAAGAACCACTGTAACACACACACGATCTAAAAACGGTCACACAGTAAACCACAGAATACTTCATCTGGGTTAACCACAGCGCATAGTTCCACTAGTCAGTACAAGAAAAAAAACATTACAATTAAACACGATTAAGACATGAGTTTATCACAGACTTGGCTCCACTCGCTTTGCTTTTTCTAGTGAAACTTCTGGAATTAGTTTTCATGTCCAGACAGAACGCAAGCAGAGCAAAGTCTTTGATATTAAAAAAAATAAAAATAAAAAAAATAATAAGTAAGTGCAAAACTAAGAAATGTTCCTGGCAAAAACGGCTTCTTTTTCCCAGCACACTGTGGGGTTTTTTTTTTTTTTTTTTTTTTGTTTTCCATGAGCTCATTGCAAACCCACAAAGCAGACGTTGGTGGGCCTCCAATGTGACACAAACACATTTGAAAAAGTGTGAGGAAAGAAGAAAAATAAAAACCAAGATCACAGGGTGAGACAGAGGGGGGAGGTGGGGGGGTACATCACTGTTTTCTCCCAAGTTGCGATGCATCCCTGGTGTCAAATGGCTTTGATTCAGATTGAGATTTATTGGATATTAATCTGCCGCTGATTTACTGCCGTCGTCCTCGTCTGATTACAGAGCAGAGGACACCCATGATGAGAGCGCTCTGTAACGTCGCTCCAAACAGATTACCATCGTTTCACCATCATTCTGAGCAAATCTGTCTGTTTTGTTGTTGTTGTTTTGTTTTTTTTTTTCATCTCCATGTTTGAACTGGGATTTTCACTGGGTTTTTTTTTATGGCCGGAAACGTTCGTGACGTATGTTAGCAATTTACACATCGTTGGTAATTAAGAAATGATGTCAATATAATTACCAAGACCTTCACTCAGCAGACATTTTTATGAATCCTTCTTTAACTCATTCAAATGATACATCGCACATTTAGCTATTACCACGTCATTTTTTTGATTTTTTTTATATCATTTGTTGTTAGTATAATGTCGTTAGATAGAGGAACAAATTTGTGCTTTTTTACACACACATTTTTCTGATATAAACAATTTTAAAATCTAAAGAAAAATGTATATATATTTTATATTTTTTTTAAAATATTTTTTACAATTTTTTTATTTTTTACAAAACTTTTTTTGACTATTTTTTTTTTCATTTTTTTAAAATTTGATTTAGAGACTTTTTAGAAATTTCTGTACCTGTGCAAACCCCATTATAGTTTTATGGTCGTCCTTCCAGCTCAATGTCTACCAGTGTCTCAAGTGTCATAGTTGACGACTATAATGAAATGAACATAAATGTTTACATTTTTTATATGTAAAGTTGGTGAGAGATAAGTGTTTAATTAAAAAAAAACCCAACAAACAACAACACCAGATCGTATGAGAAGCGCTCTTCAGATAAAGCTTTCATTTGGACTGATTTGTGAGTAATAATAGTTAAAGCCACCGACAGGATGCACTGCATCTTGAATTGTAAAAAAAAAAAATTTGATAAAATGTTTCATGTCCTCAGATTGACATAGAGTCAGGTTTGACAGCAGGTTAATAAAAGGGCAGCAGGCAGAGAGTCACACGTTCAGACTGACATGCAGTGCAAGGCAGAAGAGTGAGAGAGAGGGGGGGGGCAGGGGGGAGACGAGGCTTTGACCAGGACTTTAAACCGACCCCCTTTGTGGATTTTTCCAAACACTGTATATTATATAATTTTACAGTAACTTTAAATACAGCCTGTCTCTGAAACTGAAGCTGAGATTAAAATGTGACAGAGAAGAAAAATCCAAAGGAGGTCACGCACACACTCGTTTTTTGGTTATTTGCTTTGGTCCACAGAGTTAGAGGGTGAGATGATGGAAAGGATGATAGAAAAAAAATAAAAAAACGTTAAATGAAGAACAGCTGAAAGTCATCGTGTGAGTGAGTGGAACTACACGGACAGAAATAAAATCAATATTTAGACAAAAGTATTTAGACATAAAGTTACTAACATGCACTTGATTAACTGAATATTAATGTATACGACTTAAGTTATATCGAAAAATTTGACGAAAAAAAATCTATGTAAAGGTACAGTAACTTAACTAAAACCAGAGTAAGGACAGACCGATGTTACGCGAAGGCTAACTTTATCTTTTATTTCCTGTTTAAAGTTAAGATTTCTGGACATACATATTAGTTGTTTTTAAAGATGATAAATGGTACACTTTTCAAAGGGAAATATACACTTGTATTTCATTTTCGCAGTATATTTTAGTAATGTTTTTAGCAGCCTGCTAGTACACAGTGAGTTAGCAGTGTTAATGCTATGCTAGTTTTTAATTTTTGACTTTTCGCTACACGTTTGTCTTCAGCAATGCTCGGCTAAGCTAACCTCGCTAACACTCTGGCTTTCTTTATATACTTTACTGGCAGATCTGAATATTGTTAGTTGCATTACTGCCCCCCGCTGGGTGTTTTTGGTAAATATTTAAAGTTAGATGTTCATAGTCCTGGACTAGATTTTTTTATGTTCATTTAAAAAAAAAAAATCTAAAAAAATGTATCCTCCAGCACTGCCTTTTATTTATACAGAAGACAGAAGTAAAACATAATATAAATAAATATATAATAATTAATAATCATTTGTACAAGTTTGGCGTGCCAGATTAAAAAGTTTGGCCTTGCCTGAACTAAAGAATATAATAATTGAAAACAATAAATAAATAAAAATAAAAGTTACCTCAAAGGTAAAAATTTAATGATAACTGATGTCTAGTTACAGGCCAGATGGGACGGAGTTGGGGTCTGGAAATGGCCCCCGAGCCAGGTGTTTGACTCTGTGGATCAGTTCTATATCATTTTAGTGGTTTTATAAAAGTCTATTCTCTGAACTGTAGCAGTGAATTTCACAGTGTAAACGACTTTTCTACTCATCGACTTATCGTCCCGACATCGGTCTCTCCCCACCCGGTTGGTCAACAGGTATATATTTATATATTTATTATGTGATATTATGTGATCTGTTCTCAGTCCTTTTACCTTGTGACTACATTTTTGAATGGTGACGTTGAGTTCATTCACTACCAAATCTATACACTTGAGTGTGGGCCCCTTCAGCTTTTGGATCTGCTTTTTCACTATGGCCTCAAAGGCCAGGTCGGGGGTGAAGAGCCCCGTCCTGTGGAGGATAGGCAGGCGACAGGGCAGAGAGGGGGGGGGGGGGGGGGGGAGGAGGAAGGGGGTTAAAAAAAGGAGAGGTGGTGATCAACAGATGATCACGGGGACGGACAAAAGAAAAATAACAGCAAAAGAAGGGGTGAAACAAAAGAGGGGGGGGAGGTGAATAAAGATGCGTTCATGGAACAGAGGAAAAAACAGGGGGAGGTGAGGGGAGGTGAGGGGAGGTGAGGGGAGGTGAGGAGGATAAAACAGCAGAGAGAGAGAGAGGGGAGAGGAGCCAGAAGTAGCCAGTGAGACGTTTGGTTTCCCGTGAAGCCATTCTGTAACAGGGCAGCGCTGGAGTTTCTCTCTAGAGAGGAGAGATGAGAGGAGGTGAAGGAGGTGAAGGAGGTGAAGGAGGTGAAGGAGGTGGAGACAGCTCCCAGCTTGAACAACTCCACCATCAGCCAGAAGAAAAAAACCCCAAGCCACAAAACATGAGACGGCAGCTAACACGCACCTCCACAGTCAGACGGGACGCCGTGATTTCACCCCACGTTGAACTTTGACTCTCTCCACACTCACCCGCTCCCTCCTCCCTCCCTTCCACCTCCTCCAGCAGGATTCTACAGTCTGAACATTTATTATCTTAAGGCCTTTGTGGTTTGTGGAAGTTCAACTACTAGTGAAAATGTTTGGTCACAGTTTGGATCCAGAAACCTGGCTGCACTCACAGGTCTGAGCTGTGGAGAGTGTGGCCCCCGGGGGCCGTTAAACATTATCATCGTCATGGCTCCTGTCTGCTGCAGGTGCACAGCTGCTGCCTCAAACACACACACACACACACACACACACACACATCAGAGTCTGGAGGCTGAGGTCATCCATGATGGCTGCCAGAGAGTCTCAGTGATTGGCAGATTGACTTTGGCAGATTGATCTGTATCTCAGTCCGTTAAAAAAATACTGAACGTTTTCTGCGGAGCAGGCAAACAGACGGCTGATGCTAACGTTAAAAAAACGTTACCTAAATGTTAGCCCAGAAATTACCCCCAAAAAACTGTTGAATATAAACTCAATTAAAGGTAATTAATGAAAATTAAACGTTACATAAATGCAGCTAAGTTTGATTTGTCAGATAGCTAATTGTTAGCCTGAGTTGCTGTCTATCGCTGCCTCCTAGAGGTGTAAGAAAATATCACTACACTACAATATCAATTTTCTTTTTAGTTAAAAATGAACATGCAATTTTTAAAAATTTTATTTTGCTTTTATTTCGTGCTAGCTTGTATGTTGCTTGTATATCGCCGTGTCTATAGTATCGCAAGCATATCGCAATATATCGCATCGTCGCTCCTGTATCGTGATACGTATCATATCGCCAGATTCTTGCCAATAAACACCTCGTCTGTCGTTCAGTTCATTTAGTATTTTCTGAAACCCATTCCTCAAGAAGCATCGGTACTGGTACTCAATATTAGCGAGTACACAAACGAAAATACTCAAATCAGTTTTTTATATAAATGGCATTAGGTTCAAGAAAAATTGAATATCGCAAGGTAACTGTAGCTCAGCTGGGATACATCTACAGGTATATCGTTAAATCTTTTTTAACGACGGACTCCTATTTGGCGACCATATATGGATGACAGCTCCGCCTCCAAACCGCCATCGACAGCTTCTACCACAACCGGCCTGTCCAGCCAAACCTGTCCTTAGCGGTTGAGCAGGCAGGCGGACAAACTGCGGCCCACCCTGCTGCTCCACATCTGGAGAGAACCAGGAGGCTACAGTGACAGGGAATGAACAGCAGGGGGCACTGCGCAGACAATAGCTCCACCTTTCACCGTCTGTGTTTACCTTCTTGGTACACTGCCTAACCGTATTGACTAGCTCAGATATGACCATGTCCACACATTTGGTGCACGGCTCTTTAATCTTCCCGATCTGCCTTTTCACAATGGTCTCAAATGCCATGTCCGGCGTGAAGAGGCCAGTTCTGTCGGGCAGAGAGAGGGGGCAGCCGTGGGACCAAAGGACAGGGATGGACGGTGAAGAAGAGAAGATGAAGGAGGAAGGGCAGAATACAGACAAGAGAGTTAGTTCATTCATCTGTGAGCTTTTCTCACCGGTGAGTCAAAACATTCACCGCAGTGACTGTGACGTCACGACACCAGGTTATTGTTAACTAGTGACATGAGCGTGAAGGCAAACAACTAACCAACCGACTGGTAAAAGAAAAAAAGGCTTCAGTTTAATCAAATGGTTTAAAATGACTGGAAATGAACCGTTTACACTGCAAAAAAAAGTAATTTTATAAAGTCAAAAGATTAATATGATTTTTTTAACCAAGTGGATAAATAATACAAAATTATCCAAATAATTTCCCAGTGACAGGATGTAAATATTTCCAACAGTTCAGGATCATTTTCTGGAATTTTCTGTCTGCTGTTGAGACAATTCAAAACTTAGATCTACGTCGACAGATTTTTTTATCAATCAATCAATCGATCAATCGATTGATCAATCAGTCTATCCATCCATCTATCCGTCCATCCATCCATCCATCCATCATCCATCATCCATCATGCATCATCCATCATCCATCCATCATCCATCATCCATCCATCCATCCATCCATCCACCATCCATCATCCATCATCCATCATCTATCATCCATCCATCCATCCATCCACCATCCATCATCCATCATCCATCCATCCACCATCCATCATCCATCATCCATCCATCCACCATCCATCATCCATCCATCATCCATCTAAAATCGTTTTTTGCTCTGGTTCCATCTTTCTGTTACTGGATGAACTCTTTCAACGTGAGAATATTTTGATTCTTTCTCGACTGGTTGTTTTTGGGGGGTTTTTGCGGTGTATTTGCAGTGTAAGAAAAAAAAAAGAAGTGTGAGCAACTGCAGACAGACGAGGCCTCTGTCGTCTGTCGTCACCTACTGGATCAACTATATGACATCAATGCACTGAGGCTGTGGCTAAGACCAGAGCTGTCAGGAAACACTGAGCTGATTACAGAGGCAGAGTCAGTGAGAGCCGGTGGAGAAGGAGAGAAACAGGTGAAATGAAGGGTAACAGGGAGGTGGAGGGGGGAGAAGAGGAGGAGGAGGAGGAGGAGGAGGAGGAGGTCAAACGTGCCTGATGCCGTGGATGTTCTTGATGGCGTAGCTGATCTCCTTACGCAGCTCCTTCTCATCGAACTCCATCTGTGTGAGGACACAAAGAGAACGAGATGAGGATCAAGAAGAAACGCTTGATCAGCACATCGTGAAATTATCACAGTGACAGTTATCCACAGTAGTGGTCTTCAACATGGGGTTCGTGGCCCCAAGGGGTTCCATGGTAGTGCCGCTACAGGTCATGATAGCATTTTGTTTCATATTTGTTTCCATTTATTTTATACATAGTAAAATATTAAAACTGTAATAACATTTAAAAAACTTTTTTTTAATTTCTAAAAGGGTATATTTAAAAAAATACAATTATGTTTTAATTAAGATTAAAATGTATTTAATTATTGAAAAATCCGTAGAAAAATGTAATTATTTATTCTGGCCTTTCCCTCAACAAAGGTTTGAAAATAGTACTAATGTAATGTAACTAATGTAACTAATGTAACTAATGTAACTAATGTAACTCTACACTTTTTTAAAGAGACAAACAACCTGCTCTGTCTCTTTCTGTGAGAAACTGACAGTATTTTCTGTCGGCTCAGTCATGGAGGTTAAATCTAATGTCCTCACAGGAAGAGGAGGGGGATGGGACGAGGGTGAGGAGGGGGATGAAAAAAAGCTTTTAGAGATGGAGGTCAAAGAAGGAGGATGATGGGAAAATCTGCTCCGCACAAGGACAATGAGCGAAAGTCATTAGTTTGGATGTGCTGAAGGTTGAAAATCATAAAATAAAAAGTCACGAAACATGATGTCATTTAAGTCTGACCACATGTGTGGCATACACACACACACACACACACACACACACCTTGACCAGCTCGAACGGGAAGCGCTCGTGGAAAATGCGGTTGATCCTGGCTCCACCTGACAGCTCCGCCGTGTCGATCTGATCCCCGGAGCCTTCGATGCACTTCTCAAAGTCCACGGAAAACTGCTGCACCATCCTGCGAAAAAAAAACCACCGAGAACATTCACACACGTCTGCGTCCACCTGGCCGCACGTGGTATTACAAATGCAACGACATCACCCACTGCAGCAGAGCCTTGGTCTTGCGCGACGGGTCGTCCGGTCTGAAGTTCTTGTACTCCTCCACCTCCTTCTCTATGGAGAGGAGCTGACTCTGCAGCTTGGCTCTCAGGGCTGGCAGAGTGTCCCGGATGTGGTTGGTCAGTTGCTGCAGGTCGGAGATCACAGTCAGACACAGTGAGTCAGAGTGAGACGACGACGACTCGGAGGGAAACTTCTCAACCTTCTCACCCACCTGATTGAGGGTTTTCTGCAGGTACGGAGTTCCCATGCGATCGGCCAGGTGTCTGTACGCAGGGTGAGACAGAAAGAACTTCCTCTCTGCAGTCATGGCAGCAGTTATGTCCTTCCTTCCATCGATGTCCTTCTGGCTCCGGTTCACAACCCCGATGTAACCTGGTCACAGCAGATGACAGCAAAACTGTTTTATTTCATATTAAATCCCTTTGTTTCTTGTTTTTTAAGATTTCTCTTGTCTGAAATCTTAAGATTTTAAGATTTCTCTAATTACGTTTTGTTACTGTTTAAAAAACTTGCTACATTAGACCAGAGAACATTTGCCGTCTCGATGGGTTTAAATGCATGGCTGGCAACAAAAATATATATACAAATATATATAAATATATACAAATATAGACATATATACATATATGTGTGTATGTCTATGTATGTATATACATATTCGTATATACATATACACACAGACATATGTATAGACATATATGTACATATATACATATATGTATGTATGTCTATATATGTATAAATATATTTGTATATACATATACACACAGACATATGTATAGACATATATATACTGTATGTACATACATGTATGTTTGTCTATATATTTGTGTATATATATTTGTAAATACATATATACATATATATGGTATACGTTTTTCATTTTGTTTACTGTACAGCAGTAGACTGTTTTCGCTATTGGTGTAAAAGCTCTGCTCACTTTCTGTTCAGCTGGCTGTGTTGCAGGAATTTGTATTTATCTCTATTTTAAACTGAAGTTTTTATACATTTTGTCAGCAGTTTTAGTGACCTGTTGTATCATGTGACGACAGTGTCCCTTTGAAGACTTTTTTTTAGTGACGACACCTGGTGTCTGTGAGTACAAAACTCAAAGTAATCATACTGGTATTGGTTTGTAAAACAATGGTATTGGGACGGGATATTGTTTTTTATCATGTCAATGTCTCAATGTGATCGGCGCCTCCTGCTGACCACTGACAAGAACTGAGACAAATGTTGGAGAAATGATCAGGTTTAAAACTGGAAACACAGACGAATGATGAGCAAATGGAGAACAGGAATGTAGGGTAAAGATAAAAACAAAAGTCACTGACCACGTGTGTGTGGAAAAAAAAGTAATAAAAAGGAGTTCAGGTCACATGGATTCCATTTCAACTCCAGTTAAGTTTCCTCGTGACTCACTCACGTTGTTTCATGCTCTATATATAATGTTACAGTGAACCAGCAGCCCTGTCCATGTGGACGTCCATGGTGTTAGACAGGGCGGACGACAGAGTCAGGGAGAGGGAGAGAGAGAGAGAGGGAGAGCATGGATGTAGAAGACGTTGGAAAAAATAAGGAGAAAAAAAAAGAAAAACAAAGGACATGGAAAACTGTCAATAAGTGGCTGCATCCTGACCAAGTGCAAATGGAAAAGAAAATCACCGCCTCAGCACATTGCAGTAAAGGGCAACCCACAAGATACATGAATGTAAGCTCTTTTCCAACTCGTTTTTCTCTCTCTCTCTCTCTCTCTCTCTCTCTCTCCTTCCACTTCTCTGTTTTGATTTCTCACTTTATTATACCCCCGTCCACTCCCCCACACTCCCCCCTCCGCTCCTGTCAGTGGTGGGAGACGTGAACACAGACAGCATGACTGCATTTTTACCACAAGAGGGAAACAGCGGGTCACTTCCAAAGCCTCGAGAGAGAGAGAGAGAGAGAGAGAGAGACGAAGTTAAAAGTCGTTACTCACCCCTCCTGAGTGGAAGCAGTTTATTCTCCAGGATGTCTTTGGCGTCTGTCCCCTCGTCCATCAGGTCCAGTTTAGTGATGACACCAATGGTCCTCATGCCTACAGATAAACACACACACACACACACACACATACACATTTATCCACTGAACAGACTCTAAAAATTGTTACACAATAATTAGACAAAATACTGTATCTGTTCCTCAAACTATAATGTATTTCCAGCTAACGGCTAATTAAAAGCTAGCTTTAACATTAGCATAGCCTATAATAAAAAAAGACCTTAAATAATTAAACATAAATTAAATGTAGTCCAGAAATAGTTTATTTTGAACAAAAAATAAAAAATAAAACTAGCAAAACATGTATTCATATATATATATATGTATATGTATAAGTGCGACAGGACTTGAATATAACTAAACATTAGTATATACTGTATGGAGGAACCTAAATGTAAAATGGTGGTAAAATTAATTAATTGTAGGTGTTAAATAGTCACTTAAAAATCATCAAGAGGTTAGTTTGAAACTGCAAACAAAGCTAACCATTAGCCCAGAATTAGCTGTTATGAAAAAGCTAAATATGAATGAAAATAAAGCTTAAAATGTGTCACAAATAATTTAAAGACAGTTTAAGAGTTAGAACAAAATAATAATATTACACTAATTATAGTAAAATATTTAAATTTGAACAAGAAAATAACAAAACATAGCGTAGAGCTAGCCTAGCTAATGAAAAAAAAGTAAGCAAAAAATCAAATTAGAAGAAAACTAATACGAAAAAGAAGAAACCTATTTGCCCCAGAAATTATAAGGTGACCAATCTTTTTTTTTTTTTAAGGCCTTCCTTTAGCTAGTTTGACTCGTTTTTTTTAAAGGCCTTTCTTTAGCTAGTTTGACTCGAAAGGTATGCAGTATGTACTACAGTATATACCAGGGTCAAAAAGCCCGTTCTTCTGTAGCTGAGTAAAAGCAAGAGAGGAAGAGAGGAACAAAGTCCTCACCCTGAGGGTCGACCTCTTTGGCAATCTTTAAAGCGTCAGAGTTGGCCAGATCAGAGTTGGCCGGGGACACAGCCAGCATCAAACAGTTCTCCTTGGTGACAAACTGCATGAGCATGTCTTTGATCTGGGCCTCAATGTCTGCAGGTTGGTCCCCCACGGGCACCTTGGTCATTCCAGGCAGGTCCACCAACGTCAGGTTCAGCACTGTGAGAAGAGATTATATCATAGCATTGCATATACGTTCATATACACCTATACCAGTATCAGTACTGGGCCTCATACTTCATTCTAATACTCAGTGTCAGGAGAATACGACCGCATGTTGATGAGAAGAGAGGGTTTTTTTTATTATATCATAGCATTGCATATGTCCAATATACATTTAAATATATATTTTTTGTGTGTTTATATATGTATATATGTGTGTTGATAAATATCATATATATAAATATATGTATGTATATATATACATACATATATTTATATATATGATGTTTATAAACACACATATATACATATATAAACACACACATATATGAATATATCTATCTATATATGTATGTATATATATATACATATATACATACATATATAAATGCAATCATACATATATAAATATATGTATATATGCATATATATATCAGGGATGGTACCAGCATCTATACCAGTATCAGTACTACATCTGATACTTCATTCTAATACTCAGTGTCAGGAGAATACGACCGCATATTGATGAGAAGAGAGGGTTTTTTTTATTATATCATAGCATTGCATATGTCTAATATACATTTAAATATATATATTTTTGTGTGTGTTTATATATGTATATATATATATATATATATATATACATATATACATACATATATAAATATATGTATATATGTATATATATATATCAGGGATGGTACCAGCACCTATACCAGTATCAGTACTACATCTGATACTTCATTCTAATACTCAGTGCGTCATTAGTAAAACGTGGTGCTTGTCTCACCGTGAGGAGAATACACCCGCAGGTTGATGGGCACGGGGGAGATGCCCTTGTTGGCCCCAGTGATGCGGTCGGTCTCGGCTTCGATCTCCTGACGAACCTCATCGAAATCCGTGAACTTTTTGCCTTTACAGTGGAGAAATTCTGCGTACTCTGAAGACACAGTAACGGAGGAACAATGAAATAAACTTCAGTAACACGGTCTCAGTAGAACACAGACGAGCAGCTGGTGCTGGTACCTGTGGGACAGTTCATCAGCTGCAGGACCAGAGGTCGACGAGTCACGATGCCAGAACCACGAGGAAGAAAATCCCTGCGTCAGCACAAAGGTCAAAGGTCAGCTCATGTACAGATACTTGGTAGTACTTTATAAAGATTTCAGCGTCATTACTGTGGTTACACACAAAGAGCAATGTGTGAGTGAGTGTGTGAGTGTGTGTGAGTGAGTGTGTGTGTGCTCACAAATGTGATCACACAGAGGTGTGTTTATTATATCTGTGTTTAACAGGGTCACTGCACACAAGTGTGTGTGTGGATGGATGGATGGATGGATGGATGGTAGGATGATGGATGGATGAACTGACAGATAGATAGCTGTATCTGCTGAGAGAGACAGGGAAGGGAGAGAGAGAGAAAGAGAGAGAGAGAGAGAGAGAGAGAGAGAGTGGGAGACTGTCTCTTTACCCTAATTGGACATGTGTCATGAACAGACAGATGGTCCTAAATGAGTGATGGAGGGGGGACTAGGACTCGTCTGTGTCTCAATAATCCAGGTCCTAGTTCTTCAGGGTTCGGTCTAAAACACAGGAACTTTTTTTTTTTTTTGCTGTACTTCAAATGGACTTTCTTCTGCAGTAACAATATTATCTTCATCATTATCTTCCTTGTTTACTCTTCACTTCATCCTGGTTAAAAGCCGACAGAACGCCACCTGGTGGCAGGACAACACCTAAACTACATAACTAAAGAGCAGGAATCAGTATAAAATGTACACACACTTCAGGGCGTTCTGGGCTGTGTTTATGACACTGGGGATTTGTTTGTATTTTACATTATTTTTTGTGTGTGTTTAATGTGTTGCAATAAAACTCGGCTGTGTCCAACCCAGACAGTAGGAGGCAGCACAACAAAGGAATTACAAAATGAAATCTAGGAGCTCCTCAAATTCAGGGCGACAGGATAAAATGTGTTTTCGAGGTTTTTCTTGTGACAGTGAAGGCATCACTGGCCTTATTCTGTCCTCTGTTGGGTTCACCAGTTCATACGATGCTAAAACATTTATATTTTTAAGACAGACTGCCTGTTTATACACAGATACCTGTACATAATATAAAACAACATTAATAACATAGTAGCGGTCAATACATTATATAAATGAATAAATAATATTTCTCATCTGCATTAGAGCATTGGTGATTCCCAGACAGGGAGACGCTGATCTGCACTTAAACCCTGCTCTAATGCAGCAGAGAGGCAGACAGTTTCCTTCATGGAAGTAGAAGAAGGAGCCAATGAAACGACAGTAAACTGGCCTTCAGATTAGAGCAGGGCCAATAGAAGGCAGAGATGCTGGAGTCCTGTGGTTCAACCACAGATTAGTGCTGGTTAATCCTCTACAGCAGAACGAACGCTCACTCACTTTTACTGTGTCAGTACGAACAACTGCAGTCATGGCTGAATCGTTTCACTGTCTGAAACACACGACACAAAACACCAGAACCCACTGATACATGTTTGTAACTTAGACTAGGGAACTACTTGTCAAATGTGATCTCTGCTTTTAACCCATCACCATAGTCAGCAGGGGGCAGTGTGTGGGGGCGGTGCCATGCTCACAGCACCTGGTGGACTCAAACCTGAAACCTTCCAGTGGTGAAGGAAGTCCGGTTCCTTCACCACCAAGCGACCACTGCTCCTTTTACAGATTTATGGTCCACAATGAAGAAGTGAACTATTTTTTAGGAGCTGGTACTGGTCCGGTTCCATTTGTGACTCTTAAAATAACTCAATATAATGTGAATGTAGTGCAGCGGTTAGCACGACTGCCTCGAGAACAGAGAGTCCTGGGTTTGATTCCCAGATTAACTACATACCTGGCGCCTGCAGGGGGCAGCAGATCTGATGTTAACATGAGAATTTCTCAAATATGGGATCAAGAAAGTTTAAATGTGGCGCTTTGGCCCAGAGGCAATGTCTCTGTCATTGGTGTGGAACCCCAGGGTTCACCTCCTGGACAAGTTCGAATCCCGGTTAGGGCGGTTAATACCTTCCAGTGGACTCACCACCCGCAGGAAGGTTTGGGGGGTTGGTACGGTGCAATGTGATTTGGGTGGCGACTGCTGCCCCCGCAACCCGGTAACGGATAAGCGGATGAAAATGGATGGATGGATGGAAAGTTTAAATTATTATTAAATGGAAACATTGTGTCGATCTTTCCTAAAGTCGTTGACGCCCAGGTCTGCTGTGGTTCCCGTTCCCATTTCAGTTTACTGTAGTACACACTGTAGTACCAGCTGGTCTTACACATGAGTGAAGCTGTTGTCACTCGTCTGACAGCTCGCCGCTCTACCCTTGCGTTATGTAATACATGATCCCGATCATATATCATGGTCTTTGCCTCAGCCTCTCAGGGTGTGGGGGCTGGGATCGTGATGGCAGCAGGGGGGGGTGAGTGGGGGGTGGGTGGGGATGTGACATCTGTGTTGTAGTTTTACGTCACTGTGTTGTGCTGGCAACAGCAAACTGTCTGATAATAAAGTGCTTCAGTTGAACTGTACACAGTGTACGTACAGAACAACTCTGAGCTGAGGCTCCTCGGTTTTTACATTCTCCTCTTCTTATTCCTGAACTGTGAGTTATATCAGACTGAAGTGGTAAAGTATAAAGATAAAAATAAAAAATTCTCACGTTGACATGAATTATTGTCACATAAAAAAACATATAAACTAAAGGGGAAAAGGTCGTTTTGAAGAACCGACGTGGTGCTGATTTGACTGGAGCTGTCCGTGGTGCTGAAGCCGCTGCTGTCTGTAGAACCATGCGACTGGACATGTATTTAGTTAATAAAATAACAGATTTTAATTATATTCAAAGTCAGATAAAACATATATTGTCTTTTTGAAAGTTTATTTCCTTCTTTTTGTCTTGATTAATAAAAAATATCACTTTTACTTTTAATGTTTTTCTTTTGCTGCATACGTTGTATTTTCTCTCCTCTGGTTTCATTATTGTGATTGATTGATTGATGAAATGATACCAGGAGGTTGAAAGACACAGCTGTGCAAATCAGATGACGGTTGTTCAAACACCACTGTTGTTTCTCGGATGCATAGGTCAAAGGTCACAACTTGAAAAGACAGCCTTAAAACACTGTAGAGCAGGCGTTTGAGGGTCTAGAGGATGTCACCTTTAATCTTAATGACGATTGGCTTTGACCAGTGTCTGGGTTTGACTGAGGGTCAAGGGTCAAGAAAAACTACAGCAAATGACATCTGTCTTAGCATAAAAATATTTAAAAATGTACAATGTAAAATCTAACTATATTTGATGGAAGAGAGACACTGACCCTCTGTAAGAAGGACGAATGTGTGGGGGGGTGAAATATCACTGAAGGACAGACAATAAAAATAAACCATTAAATATTATATGTATTTAAATATAATATCCCTTTAGTTCAAATTTACTCACAATTTACTAAAGTCTCTATCTGTTTAGTTGAAGACAACACTAATATAGTCGCAGGAATTGAAGAAAGACTCAAATTTCTTCTTCAACAGCTCTGATTCTCTATGTTTATGTTTTCATTTTTATGTTTTATGTATATGTTTTCATAGCATCACTACCACCTAGTGGAAGAGTATTTAAATGTTGATTATTTAAATGTTGCCTGTCACACATTGACGAACGAGGAAAAATTATTTGCATAAGAAATAAATAACATTTTTCTGACCAATTATGTCAAATTGGATCATTTTCCGCAGCACACCCGATGATCTCTAACGGCACATTAGTGTGCCACGGACCTGTGGTTGGGAATCACTGCTCTACCGGATGCATTTAAAAAAACAAAAACCTATGATTCTTCTTATTTTAAGTGTATCTGAGCAGATTTTACATCATCTACATAAACAACGTTAAACAACGTTCTACAAGGACGTAATCAGTGTCTCGGTGAAAGAGAAGAACAAGGATGCGTTTAACACAACATATTGTCAGTGTGACAATCACACACAATAGGGCAGCAGGAGAAGAGGGAGGAGGGGGAGCAGCCGAGGAATAGTAATAATAATGAATAATGTACGGCCGCAGCCTG